TGCTTTCGTAAAGAGCAGAAATAGCTAGAAAAACAGCAGGTTTGCAGAGTCCCGCTCCGGCGCGGCTCCTTTTATAGCACCCCGGCGGGAATCGACTGTATCCTATGGTACTGGGAAGGAATTTGGCCTTTCCCACTTCTTTGCACATACGCACACAGATACCGCTCTCCTGGAGCACAAGGCCCTCATCTAATCCCTAAAACTCCACGGGAACGTAGAGATGCAGAGAGATATAAACTGGGGAAGGGTTTGGCTTTTCAGGTGGCTAATGATTTGGGATGCCCAAATGAACCCAGAAAGGGCTATTTTCTTTCCACAAAGTTTTTTCTTTTTTGCAAACTGAGTGAGTGTCACAGCATTCAGGACCTAAAAGTCCACTTGTTTTACCTAGCCTTGCTTTTCTGCCAGCTCCACCTTCCTTCAATTCAGCTCTTACTTCCAACCTTTCAGCTTATCAGCATTGATTTATTTAATATAAAATAGTGAGGTTACCTTAGATCAATTATACCTTTTTTTTTTTTCTCCTGTGTAATTTCCAAAGCTTAATACATCTGTTACTGCTCAGCCGCAGGGGCAACTTGTCCAGCTGGATCCTAAATTATTTCAACCCTTAATTCAATTGTATTTTTGCCACAGCCCAGCCAATGAGCATAATTCTTTTATGGCTAAGAAGCCTCTTTAGAAATAATCCAATAGCCCATATTAAAATATAGGTCACCGTGAAAACTGCCAAGTGCCTGACTTGTCATAACTTTGAGGCCAGGCCCCGAGTCTCCTCGGGCGCTGCTGATTCTTGCGGAGCTCCGAGGCTTAATTTTAAAACAATCAGCTCCACAAAAACAATTTACTTATAACTGTCCAAGCTGGTCAGCGTTAGCTGGGAAGCTCGTGTGCTRCTGGGTGCTACGTGGGGCTAAAGGCTCCAACGAGGGCAATGGGAGGTTTCCAAGCCCTGAGCGGGTTCACAGCTCTTCTGGAGGGGCTTTGGGCTGCCAAGAGAAGTCAAACCCATCGCAGACCGTTCTTGGTGGGACTATGTGAAAGCCGAGGCAAGATTAATACACAAGCTGACAGAAGGCAGAACACACACAGAAGTTTTTAACCATCGAGAAAAGATAATTTGGGCTCTTCAGCTAATGCCAGTGACTAGATGTGGGACCTTTTGAATGTTTATATTTGTAAAAAAATCACTTGGTTTTTGAAAGAAAAGGAATTGACAATAGTTTCTTCCAAAACACTGAACAAGACCAATTCCTCCTCTCTTTTTAAAACCATCTTCTACTAGCTACTAGAGAGATGGAAGCACACCATCAAAACCTCAGAGATACCAGCAGCCCCGGGACCACTGACATATTTGGGCTTTTAAACCAAATTTGCTTTCCAATTTTGCTTTGAAATTATGAAATATCTTAAAAAAGCCTTGATTTGGGCGAGATAAGCACGATCCTTCAGCACCACCACGGCGGTCCCAGGGCTCTCACAGGCAACCAGTTAAACCCCTTTCCAAGAATTCCCTCCACGGGCCAACGAAGACCACTATAGGCAACAGAAGCTTCTCCAAGGAAGCCAGGCCAACCCGTTATCTTATTCTGATAATTGCCTTTTATAAAAGACAAGGAAATGCAGCAGATCTAATCGGTCTTGACTTCGGAAAAACAGCTGCTACGTTGACACTAGTAATTGTCAGTTTGAGCAAAGAAGAAGAGATAAATAGAAGAACTGTTACGACGGGAGAGGAACTGGCTAAAGAGGATGTAATGCTGAGTTGTGCTGTAAGGATAATTACAGGCTTGGAATGGGGTTACTAGCACTAAGAGCTGTTATTGGGAAGGCTCTTATTAAATATTTGCATTCATTATATGCACATAAAGAGTTTATGTTTGCTAATGAAATTTAGAGATGGAGTTGGAAGGCAGTATCAAATCAGAAACAAAAAGACTCACAGGTAAAAAAGCACGTTCCAGAACCCTCAGCTACAGGGCAAATATTTAATACGGGTTGGAAAAAGCCCACTGGAATCCCAGGATCATCAGCTATGACGAAGGGGGAGGAGTACTACTACTTTGTTACCTGTTTCTAAGGCTTCATTTAAAAAACAAGGTGATTTTATATTCAAGAAAGTCTTGTGCCACCTGCTAAGGTGGTCTCACCATGGCACGTCTTCCCCGGGTCACACCGAATGCTCTGGCCACAGCAGATCCAGGTTAAATCAGCTTGGGGGGCTCTTAAGCAAGCTGGTAACTCAGGTTGCTCCAGACTCTTCCCCGTGGCTTCCTGGTGTGCATGGAATGACACAACTTCTTGGAGAGCTTTTGCAAAGCTTCTTTTCAGCCCAAAGGCACTTTGTAGCATGATACACTGATTGCAAAACCATAGGGTTAGGCCAAGAACGGGTAGAGGAGACACACTCCTTTAGGGAAGGGACACTATTGCCGTAGCCTTCTAACGACACAGGACAAAACTAAAAACACCAAGTAGACACTGTATTTGGAATCACACGCTGATTTTAGGGATACAACTAAGGCAAAGTGCTCAATCCACTCAACACAGTCCAGAACACCAGAGCTGACATATCTGCTGTCATCCAAAGGTGTCCAATACGGCCAGCAACACAGTTGYCTTCGCTCGCTAACCTAGAAAGATGGGCCCTCCTGCCAGTGCCATGTTCCTATCACCAGGAAATTGTTTTACCATTGATTCAGCAAGAGGGTTGTTGTCAACTTTGTCCCCAGCTCCTACAGCAACTGCCCGTTGCACAAGTTGCTTTAATCGAAGCACAAGGAAACCTATCTTCATTTGAAGATAGGTGGGTCATTTGAAAGATGTTCAGGCTTTCAGTGCTGCTGAGCCTCAAGGCCAGAGCGAGCTCAGAGTCACTGCGGACAAACCAGGGCTGGAAGTTACAGGCCTGGTGTATGCATCTCTTGTCCTTTTTTAATCTTCTCGTTGTACACTGGATTATAACAAAAAAAGAGCCTAATACCCTGGGTGACAGGGCCAGGGTCCTGCCGTCACCAGCAACCGCATCACACCCCCTGCTCATAGAGCAGCTCAGTCCCATTCTCATAACCAGGTTTGCAGCTCCCACATGCTGGCTCCGATAGTTGAAATGCTTCTTCTCCCTTCCCAACTGAATTTATAGSATCTTTTTGTCCTTTGCTTTAAAGTTTTTTCCCTCAGTGACCTCAATCTACCTGCAAAGCGACCAGACCCCTCTCAGCCGCTGTTTTATGGACTCAGCCACCAAGCTCTTTCCCCAAACCCATCAGACCCCCTATAGGGACAAGACCCTTTCCAGAGGCACCCAGGGGGCAGAGCTCGTGGTCCTCCTGCAGCCACCATTGGCCACAGCTCCTTCCCAGCCCTCCTGCAGGACAACGATCCCAAACTCGCTCCCCACCATCCTGCCCGGCTCCACGGAGCTTCCTGATCACAATATTCCCTTCCCTACCTTCAACTCAAACCACTGTCAGGCTCTATTAAGCATAACACGATCCAGACAAATTCGAGATTAAGCAACTTTTTTTTTCAAATCCAATTGAGGACTTTCTTACCTTGAGGGTGCAGCAGATATTACATTAACCAGATTGCACACACTTTCCATGCAACAGCTCAAGAGCTAAAGGCATATATATATCTAATATACATACACACAGTTACTTAATTCTCCTCGGAAATAAGCAGGGACTTTCTAAATCCCTCCCAGCCCAGATCCCACAGTGAAGCTCAGCCAAGCGATCCCTCCTGTGGAAAAGGATGCCCCTCAGCAAGGCTGTGTTTTTCYAGCAGTGACGGGCGAGTGCTCCTGTCTCTCAAAGGAAGCCCGTGCAGATCATTAAGAGACTAATAGTCACGTGGAGACGGGGGAAGCAGGTTAAAAAGCACCTTGCTGGCTAAGCTGCAGCTCCAGCCAGAGAGATGGTGCTGGCATCACAATCCCTCACCCACCCCTGCCCTGGCATCCCCAGTGCCACCCAGTGAGTTCCAGCTTGAGGCATCGTGGCCAGCATGGGGCTCAGCTCCCCCCATGGGGACACCAGGGTGACACTGGTGGTGGCAATACGGCCGTGTAGGCGATGCCTGTGGTCAATGTGAAGGGTGGCCCGAGGAGCCTGTGGGCAGCACTGCAGCCGTCCATGTAGATGTGTGAAGGAGGAGGGTGTTGAGCACAGGGGAACGCAGGGCACCTACAACATAGTGCACGTGAGAACTAGGGGCAACGTCCATGGTGTGAGGTGACCACCAAGATACAGAAAAGGGTTTTGGGGGGTGCATTCGGGGCAGGTGAGGGCAGGAAACTGCGCTCCCTGASAGCAAGCCAGCCCTGTGTTCTCCGCATACAGAGCACGACGTGACTTAAATACTTTGTCCGTATATAAAACCCCAAAATACTTTTGGACTTAAAGCCCAAAAAATACTTTAGGRCACAAGTTAAATTTGAGAAGCCCCCAGAGCTCGGGATGATGCCTTTTTGTGGCAGAGAGCTTACYGGAACGGGAGGAAAGCCCTATGCTTCCAACAGCTTCCTCACTAGCATCCTTGCATCTGCGGCCGAAAAGCAGGGAAGGGACAGGGCGAATTCCCGAGGTCTCCCTCGCTCTAAGGGGGATTCCTCCCAACTCTCCCCGCTGCGAGGAGAACCAGCCCTTCCCCTCTCCTCCCCACGCGCGCGAGCCCCAGCGCCCACCCGCGAGCAGCGGGACACGCCGCGGCGGCTCCGCGCGCGCCCGGCGCAGGGCCCGCCCCTGCCCGCGGCGGCCCGCGCAGCCCGGCGGCAGCAAACGGTTAAGGGGCTCCCGCCCGGGCGCCCCTCTCCGCCTCCTCGGCGCCACTCTTATTAGGGGCCGCGCGGCGCGGGGCGCGCGCGGACACGCGGGGCCGCCGCCGCGCGCAGCATGAACCAGCAGCCCGAGCGCAAAGTGTCGGTGGTGGCGCCGCTGGCGGGGCAGGCGCCCGCCAGGAAGGACGTGGAGCTGCTGCTCGTGAAGGAGCACAACGGCGTGCAGTACACGAGCAGCAGCGTGCGGCCCGCCGCGCGCCGCGACCGCGACACCTGGGCCAAGAAGATCGACTTCCTGCTCTCCGTCATCGGCTTCGCCGTGGACCTCGCCAACGTGTGGAGGTTCCCCTACCTGTGCTACAAGAATGGAGGGGGTAAGGGCGCCGCGGCCGCGCGGGGCCGGCCCGGCCGCGCTCCCGACCCGCGCGAGGGCAGCGGGACGGGGCTGCAGCGGGACGAGGCTGCTGGAAAGCGGCTTGGAGGGGGCTCCGGCTGCTGCGCTGCACGGGGCGGGTGGAGGGTTATTCTCCCCCCCCCCCCCCCCTCCCGGTAGATAGAAAACTTGCTGCAAACAAAATCCTTGCACCTTTGAGCAAGGAGAGCAGCAAGAATAACTGCACTCGGTGCCTAGAATCAACTGCAGGAGGCTGGCACAGCCTCTGCCAGCCCTGCCCTCCCACAGCCCCCACGTCCCGTGTCTCAGCACGGTGCTGGCCCCTGCCCACGCTGCAGGAACAGCCCCTGGTGCCCGCGGTGCCGAGGACAGAGCCCACCCAGCCCGCGGGCAGCTCCGAGTGCCCACGGGGCAGGAGGCAGAACAGCCCCGGAGCAGCAGCGCCCGGAGCTGCCCCGGCTGCAAACAGCATCGCCCGATGGCGAAGGGCAGCGACTCGCACTTGCACCACGAAATATTGGCTTCTTGCAAAATAAAAAGGGACACAGGGCAGGAAAATCCCTCTCAGGTAGCACTCMGCTGCAGCGGGGCTTAGAACTGAGGAGGAAGCTGGAAAGGGCCGGGACGGAATCGCTTGGTCTGCTGCGGTACCTCCGAAACGCCCGAGACGGGTCGCGATCTTCCCGCCCGCCACCCGCGGAGGCTGACGGAAGTAGTTAGTGCAGAAAAATAAACTCCATGGATACCCGGGATCACTTTTAGTCAGATTCCTGACTCCTGCCCTTTCTAACGGGCTGAGGCAGGGGAGGTACCTGGCTGCAACCCCCCAGCAGTTCAGTTCTGCTGCTTGTGGTCCTGCCAAGGCAGCTAGAGAAGCCCACCCCTTCCATAGCATCATTTAAATTAAGCACTTAAACTACAGCAGAGAGAAAGGCAAYTACTGCACAGTTGTTTTCACCTTTTGGTGAAAGACTTCTGAGGTCTCGCACCCTGTGGCAAGCTGGGACCTCCTGCTYTGGCCATGCAGAAGGGACAGCAAGTGGCTGCTCCTGCTGCAAGCACAGACCTTCTCACGCAGCCTCCATCCCGTCACAGGGGGACACGGCAGCACGAAGCTCCTCAGTACCAATTCTGAACACACGCATACCAGCACATACCTTACTGGCACTGGGAAAGGTTTCTTTTTCCCATGAAATTCAAGATAGGATAATCCCAAGCCTCAAAAGTCCTTTACAGAGGGCTTTTCCAGACATGCTTGCAGAGAGGACATAGTTAACAGCCAGATGAAGACACACCAGCTTTGGCTAATGTGAGGACAAACTCATCTTTACAATTGGATTGGTTTTGGTTCAGTGATGCTTAATCATACCTAGAGGCTGGAGAGCAATAGTCTCTCCATGAACCATGGCCACCAGCACTGCAGCCCGTAGTACTGAATGTTGGCAGAATTTCCAGGTAAACCAGAGCTGAGGGACGCAGAACTAAGGGCAGGGACTAACAGCTCACAAAAAAATCTCTAGGGTATCTTAGAACTTACACACATGGACATATATCTTATTTAGCAGGAACTCTTGCTCTCAAACTACTTCATGGAGTTCTCGGTTCCTCTCCGTGGCCCTGGTTCAGATGCTCTGTGGACACTTCTACTACGAGAGCAAAGAACAAGAGGCAGTGGGTGCTGAGGGCAAGGGGACACCGTTRGCTTTCATTGCCACGGTCCCAGCCCTACACCCACTGATTCTCTTACACAGCTCTTTTCCRCACTGCTCCTGCCCGAGGGAACCCCGTACCGAGACTAGAACAAATTTTGCAACCTCACAGGAAGCAGGTTTCATATAACTGCTGGCTTAGGTATCCATATGGGGGGGAGTTACAAAAATAGAGGCACTAACAGACATGGAACAACATGTGGTTACGTGGTCATGGCTCCTTACTGGGCTGCTGAGCAAGCTCAGGAGACAAAACCAGGCAGGTTTCTGCTGTTGGAGACGTGCTTTGTATAGACTGCTAAGGTTTGCCCTTTGAAAACGGTTTAACAACACTCTTGGGATTACAGTTTGCCTTTTAATATTGGTAAGGAGCTCTAGATAACAGAAAACGCTAAGCAGATTAAACTTGAGCTGCATTGAATCAGTAGAAGAAAAATGCTTCTTCCTCTCCTCTTCCCCTGAGTTTTCCCTTATTCCGAAGCCCTGCCCGGCAGTGGCTCGGAGCTAAGGCAGCCTTCAGCACAGGGAGCCAGATGTGCCTTGCCCAGCTGTGTGCCCTCACCAGAGGCATCAGAAACAGGCTGTGAAAAGCAAGTACCTTGTGGTGCCAGGAGCCCTCAGCCATTGAACACTGTAGCCCATCTCTTGCTTCCAGCATAGCTTGTGCTATCTCAGCAAAAAGAAATCCATTTCTCTTCCAAAGTCTACAATCAAGAAGGTTATACCAGGGCTGTCAAATGTGGTGTCAGAGCATTTAAGGATATGTAAACACTAAAAACTAAGAAAATAGCACACCCTCTTACACTTGAAAAGGGTGACCCAGGTGACTTGAGAGCTGCTACATCCCTAAGACTGGTCACGACTGAGATGCCATCAGAAAGACTTGCTSCTTTTCCATGCTGGTTAGAATAGGGGGTTCTTGATCAAGTTAACTTGATCTTAAATACACACCATATTAATTGAACTTAAATACACATCGTATTCCCTCATTGAGCTGCATTTACGAGAAGGCAGATGCGTTCACACAAACACACCTCTTACTAGCCAGATCTTGGAGCCGCTTCCTTTGAGAGCTCATGGAAGCTCCCTGGTTAAGAACCAGCCTTTTGGGTTAGACCCGAGAGTCCACGCATACATAAGTGCCATTAACCTACATTAGGGAGTTGTACTTGCTGCAAGTGTCACYGCCCGGGGTGCTTTACAAACCCCTTTTAAAGGTGTGTAACTTTGGAGAYGGCACTAGCCGCGTTAACAAAAAAACTATTTGCATTTTAACACGCTCCCAGGAACAAAAAAGCTACCGAGTAAAAAGGAGCCAGCAGCCCGAAAACGCTGAATGACCAGCCAGAAACATCTGTGTTTTGGGAGCAGCCTGCTGAGAGACCCCGGCAGGACTCCTGCCCAAGACAGACGGCAGAATGCAACCCCCATGCGAACAACGGGGATCTCTGCAAACTTCTGCTGTAAAATAAAATCCCCAAATTCTTTAGTAAAGTYGGGGCTATCCTTGCACACTGGCATTGCTTTTGGCCCGTCTGTAACCACTGCAGACTGTGCACATTTGCCTGCTCTTCACACACAAAGTGCTGCTTGCGGCAGATCAAAGGGCTCCCGCGCAGACCGTCCCTGCGAGTTTAAAAGAGCAGGGGATGTCACTGGAGAAATCATCAAGTTCAATCGTTTCTCCTGGTTCCACTGTTCTCACAAGTGCTATATCCTCAGCAGAATTCATTTCTGCAAGAGCTTTGCTTRTAAGAGGAGAGAAAAAATATAAAAGGAGGGAAAAAAAGGGCTGTATGAGGGTTTTTAAGCAGACAGCACCACTGTACTCAAGTCTATGAGATGTCCAACCTCTTAAGCATTCTCCAAGGCAGGAAGAGGCTGCAGCAAAGTAAAGAATGAGAAGAGTATTAAAATTGGATTCTCATCATCCACTTTGTGAAGGATTTACCCGGATAGTTTGGAATACATCTAAAATTACACTGCTGCCAAATGCCGTTGAGTAATGCCTGGTATGATTAACTCTCTGTGGGGGAGGAYGCCAGAGCTATTGTAGTTTCTGTGCAAGATACTCCTAGTTTTAATGCTCATTTTTATTTAGCTTCCTTGCAGTCCTGGGCAAAATTAATATTTCCCACTGAGATTTCTGAAAGAAAGGAAGCTGCAACAGCACAACATTCCTTCTGAGCCAGGCTCTTTGCCAGGCCACTCCTGCTCGGCCTATTCATTAGGACGCATGTAATTGTCAGATTAGTCCCTAGAGACTTACTGTATCATAAGAATCAGATTAAGGTTTTCATGAATTCAGAAAAAAAAGAGCCGCTGATAAATATTTTAACAGTTTCCTGGCTATGATAATACACAATTTTAGTCTCACCTGAGACATTTTTCTGTGTGTCTTTAGACAAGAGCCTTTCCAAGACAAATCCCTCGCTTTGCAGAGCGGGTCCCCAGCAATGGCAGTGSCCAGCGCTGCCCGTCGCGGAGCTGGGATGCAGCTCACGGCTCTCTCGGGGGCTGCGCTTTGGAGATGCTCTCGGGGCTGTGCTTTGCTGAGCCTCTGCCAGCAGATTCAGTCCCTCACTTGAGATGAGAATAGTGTGGCGTGCTGCCCTTCYAACGAAGGTGGCTGACCCTACGGTTGAGCTTTACCTTTCAAACCCATGGTAATGATAATAAATCAGCTTTGAAGGAGTCTCACGAAAAAGCCATCACTGAGAGTTTCGTTCAGGAGTCCCTCAAAGCGTGCATGCAATTCCWGTGCTCACTAGCCCCCTTCCCCTACCAAACCTGCCCCTCCTGCCGTCCCTGGACGGCTCTGCCAGGACTCCCTGAAGCTTCGGGCTCCATGGCCTTGGGTGACATTTGGGACAACACTCATTTATGGTGTGGGACAGTCCCTCCTTTCCCAGAGCCAGACTCGTAGCCAGCTCACAGCTGCTCTCCTCCTCGTGCATCTCTACCTTCCCTGGAAGTGCCGTGGGCTCCTGGTGGACACAGGCACCGTTTTCAGCCAGGTTCTCCTGTCCTGCAGCCCACAGGCCAACTGCTCCCCAGCAGCTCCCAGCTCTCCTCCCCTTGCCCACACTCAGGGTAGCGGGGCAGAAGGGTCCTGCCCAGGGCTACACAGTGCTGCAGCTCAAAGCATTYGGGACACTCAATGGAGAGGAGCTGTGTCCCCTCCACAAACCCTCCACCAGCACCTCTGAACCTGCTCTGGACTCAGTGCAAGGTGCTCTGAAATAGCACGCGAGCGCTCACCCCGTAACAG